TATCTTCTTGATTCTTGCTGTTCTGTCTCTTCCAGCTCTGCATGATAACCAAACACTGTAATCTAATAATACAACAATCTCTCAAACCAGGCTTAGGCCTCTAAATGCAATAAAACTGACAGGATTTATTGATGTTCTGGTGTTCTCTTCTTGCACCTTTCCTTTCCATGCCTCTCCAGCTCTATGCACACAAGAGGATAGTGCTGCTCATTTTCTAGTCTTTCTTCAGCCCTTCATCCATTCTCCCAACATGGAACTGCTGCAACACTTTGGCTTCAGAATCCTAGAATATACACTTTGAACTCACCATTAACACTTTTGAGTTTGCCTTTGGCCAGGTCATGCTTTTCAAATATGAAGCATGTCAGAGTCAGGTACAGTGTTATAGGGTGGAAGATCAAGGTAAGGGTTCCTGGCGTCTTTCTTCAGCCCTTCATCCATTCTCCCAACATGGAACTGCTGCAACACTTTGGCTTCAGAATCCTAGAATATACACTTTGAACTCACCATTAACACTTTTGAGTTTGCCTTTGGCCAGGTCATGCTTTTCAAATATGAAGCATGTCAGAGTCAGGTACAGTGTTATAGGGTGGAAGATCAAGGTAAGGGTTCCTGGCGCAACCCTGTCTGTGTTTGCAGGACCAGCTCCTCCAAGCTGCACCTTCTTGAGAAGTTAGCAGATGTCCCCCAAGCTCCTAAGGCAATTCTTAAGGTTTTTTTCCGTGCAAATTACATAGCAACTGTCAAGCACAGGCTTTCGGGGAGGTGGCCATGCCTATGGGGGTTACTTGGGCCACCGTGCTTTGGTGAAACCATTATACAGCTACACCATCTCCCCAGCACATCACACTTAATCTTCCAACTGAGCTGACTTGCCTAAATCATCTTTCTTAAGACTGGCAGTTTGCCTGTGTGCAGCTAGTCTGTCTTCAGCTTGATGCTGCCCCTGGCCAAGTCATTTTGGTTTTCACCTCAAATCTATTGGGTCACGGAGTGCACAATTTGATAAGCCATGTAAAATGAAAGCTTTCACCCTTGTCTCCTTTTTTTTTTCTTTTTTTTTTGAACCCTCCAACAACAGATACATTTCACAGAAAAGTGAATGTTGAAAGAGGCCACCAAGCTCTGAAGCTTTTAGTTCTTACTTCTGTTCCGGTTGCTGCGATGCAGGTCTCCAGGGCTGCTGCCCAACTGGCTGTCCTCCGAGGTGGGGCTGAAGGCTGGGTTCACCAGCCCTGGCTCATCTGTCATTAAGGCGATGGCTGCAGCTGCTGAGAGCTCAGGGCCCAGGGCAGCTACTGCTAAGCTGGAGCCATGGTCTGGAGAGCAGTCTTGGGAACGCCTCTTCCGTTCCTTAGTAAGGCCATAGTGGGATGCTCCTTTACATCTAAGGAGAAGGGAGGGAAAGGGACACTTGACAGTGAGTTGCATTTGAATGCTGCATACTTATGGAAATTATCTGGTGTCAAGGAATCTCTCAGAGTACAGACTGTGATAATCATGATGACCAGACAAACATGGGTGATTAACAACAAGGGAAAATGCCAGTCCCATCATCTTACACAGAATCAAAAAGAAGGAAGGAGCTAAGTTACAACCTTACATGGAAAGACTGCAGCCTTGTGTGTAGTCACACGTGTATAAATAGTTACTCCAGATACAAGAGGACAGGAATAGCAGGTGGCTAATTAAGCCAGAGGCTACAGTCTGTAATTTCCCACTTGCCTCTGGTCAATGAAGGAGAGCAGGGTGAGGCCCGACAGCTTCTCTGAGCACACTGGTGAAATAAAAGGCACCTTACCCAGTCCTGCACCCTGAGAATTTCTCCTGGTCATCAAGGCAGTCACACCTGGAGCATGCTGCCGTGGTCTGTAGAGACCAGTGCAACCAGGGAAGAGAGGGCTGCAGGTAGGAGTTGAACACTGACAGTATGTGGGAACCCAGTCCCCACACAGTGCCTGTACAGACCAGTTATTACTTGAACTGCACCTGATGAATTGTTTTCAAATTCAGCAATGGAGATGAAGTTGCCAACTCTGCTATTCCAGATCAGTTGAGACACTAGTATAGACAGGTTACTACCTTGACAGAGGAATAAGTGCAAGACATGGTAGGGATGTCCCACAGCCCTGCCAGAGCCAAGGAGGGAGTGCAGGGCTCCCACTGAGGGACCTCTGACCTCAGACCAAGGTCCTTGGGCCAGCCTGGGACTTCACCAGCTTGGGGAGCTCAAGGCAGTTTCTAAAATACTTCCAGAGGAAAATCCAGATCTTAAATCATGACTCAACCTCCACAGTGACAAAACTCTCCATTTCTGGTGGAGACATGCATGTTCCTGGGAGAGCTGAACATACAGCATTATAAGAGGCAAATTGCAAGCCCACTTTGAAAAAAACTTACTTGTGGTCACAACTCTCTGCTCTAGATTCATCCTAGACAGCAAAGGCAGAACCACATATGGCATTTCCTTTTTAAGACTCATTAAAGGCATTCACTTGAATGAAATGAAAGGTGGCTACACTCTTCATGAGTCAGTATTCAATTAAAGCTAAAAAATAACTGAAAAGACAGAGTGGTCAAGGACACAGCACCTGTAACTTTTCTCCACCACCACTTCTGCCCAGTGCCCACCCACTAGAACCACAATAAGTGCATTAAAAAAAATAAATCTGCCTTTTAATCATAATCTAATGAGCTTGGCCTACTTTCAGTTACTATTATCTCTTTCTTCATAGTGAAGGCTAACTGATGACTTTCATGAAAGTGCCCTGTAGGACAAACTCACAGAAATAGCTGCAGAAACCCTTAGGGATAGAAAGCTCTTCGTAATATATGGCATGCACAAAAGGCAATGCATAATGCATACAGTACACAGCGCTAGTGGGTTAAGTGTCACAAAAAGAAGTAGTACACTGAGCAGAAGCCTTGGAAGAGAAATGATTTATGGAAGCAGTTTATGGGACAGAAAGATGAGATGAGGAGAACTCTGCATCAGCTTTAGAGCAGCAGTTTAATTTCTATTATGGTATTGGCTTTTGATGAGAGACAATTGAATTAAAAACTTTTTTAGCCACTAAATTATAATTTACCATCATTTATCTTATACCACTTCTGAAAACTTTCATTTTAAAGCGGTAAAAAAACTTAATCCAAACTGTGTCATATTCAGGCAACTGTGTAAGGGCTTTGTATATTCTTTAAGGCTTGGATGGGAATGGCTGTAACAGAAGTGATTTCTGAAATCTCTCACAAGCAAAATGAGGCATCTTGGAAAAAATTACTCTTATGGTAGAGAAGGTTGATCAACTACTTAAAATACCAACAAAAAGCTATTTCAGGCATCTACTGCAAGGCAAGACTGCAACGATAATCATGTAAATCCGAAAGGAATAGCTCTCCTGCCTCCACTGCAGCAGATATTTTTCAGTTCCTTCCCAAAAACAGGGTGTGACATCCTCACCTCCCCATAATCCTACATCATGGCAGGATGATCTGCTTTAGATTTCACTGGGAGCAGAAGCACAAAGGCCTTCCCCTCTTGGAGCTTACCTAAACTTCTCCAACACAGTGTTTTGGAAACCCATCCTTGACATCTCCTACTTACAGTAAGGTAACATTTGCTAATCCTGCCTATGAATGCTCAACAAAATAGTTTCAAAATAGTTCAAAAACCCAACACAACGAAGAGAACACAAAGAAGTGGCTTCAGGGTGCTGTTCTCAGAAGACAGTCTCTGCTTTACAGTGATCCTGCAAAGATTTAAAATATGATAAGAGATACTTTTACTCCTCCTTTTCATTTGCCTGTGTTTTCATCATGCCCATACAGTTTCAGTAGCTGATACTAGAGCCCCAGCCTTGTGAATGGGTCCTCAAATGCAGATTTTGAAAAATATTTAGTGGGTTCTATGAAGACCAACATGAAGACTGGAAGTGGCTCTGCCCAAAGATTCCCAGCTACTCAGGTTCAACCCCTGCCTGATGCCCATCTGCATTTTGCTGCTAAAGCCTTCACTTTCTGTGGAAATCCTCACTTGCTGCTGCTGGCTGCACTGCAGACACCCAGTCAACAGCTTCATTCCAACAGCAATGAACAGAAGACAGTTACTTTGAATGTAGGGAGGGCTGACACAGTTTAAGATGTGGCTTATTGGAGAAGACAAGTTGTCATGATACAAAGCGCAAAGCATATCTTTCTAACTCTGCCAGAAATAGTTAAAAGAGAACCAAAGCTCTTCAAGTATGAGCACTGAAGCCATTTCTTAAATAATTGTGGCAGGCATAAATGAACACAAATCAAGTCCTCTTTCTTCAGATTAACACAGTGTCCTTGAAGAAGGAAAAAACCCAGCCCCGAGCCCTCAAATTTGTAATAAAATCTGCAACAGCATCTCTTCACTTTCATTGTTTTCCTTGTGCTGACACTGCTGTGATAACAGAAAACAGAGGAGATGACTGTCTAAGTGGAATCATATTTACAGTGTGTCAGCTACATTTTTCCATATGGTTGGATTTGGCTCCCAGAAAAGAGAGAGATCTATAAAGCAGCTACATGCCAGTACTAATTAGCTCTCTCATTGTGATTATTAATCACAATGCCTGATTTACAGCTGGAAGAGTGGGATACCTGATTAACATAAACCAGTCAGAAAGAGAACACAACACTGTCTGCAGGCCAAGGTGAACTACAGATTTATGTTCCTTCTCAGTTGTGCTGGACAGCAAGTACATCCCTATGATACTGAAACAATTTGAAGGCCAAACCCGAGAGAGATAAACAGACATGAATAATGTGTGTTGTACAGTTCATGCCATTAAAGTAGTGTCACTAGGTTCATACAGGAAATTTAAAAAATAGTTTCTTCTGTTTGCACAGCCTCTTGTCTGAAGAAGAAATGCACTGTCTGAAATTCTGGCCATATGAGCCAACCACTGGGCAGTGAGAGGGCAGTGGTGGCTGCTGAAACTTCATCCAGGGCTGCAATTCTGGCTGGTCTCAACACTGACAGCCACAAGGCAATCTGTGACCTGTATGCATGTCCATGCATGCTGCTCCACACAGGAGGAAGGCTCTGCACTCCAGGATTCAGGAGTGGTGCCTCCCAAGTGCTGGAGTCAGGAGATTCAAACCCCTGTGGCTGCCTTAACTTGGTTGTACCCTTTATGGAAATAACCTTCAGTTAAACTCAAGGCCAACTGAAACATATCCACATCATTTAAAATTCAAATTAAAGCAGTAGTTTGAAAACAGAGATGCGTTTTCCTTCCAGCATCCCTAACTTGAACAGCAATGGAGGGATTCAAAGTGTGGTTGACCTCAAGGATTTCACTTATCCAGGCTGACATAGGGATAAAATGTACAGCCATAACATAAACAAGGACAACTGCATGGATTTTTTTTTCACTTCTCTTCTAGTGATCTAAATGAAAAATACCACAGGCAAAAAATATATGTGTATGTTTGTCAGTGGCACGGGGATTTGAACTAGATGATCTTTAGGGTCTCTTCCAACCCAAACCCATTCTATGATTCCTTGATTCTGTGATTTATAATGCATTTGTTCTTAAATATCCCCTGCTTTCTGTGTCTCTTCACAAGTGATCCCTCTTTCTCCCTGTCTCAGACCTGACTTCCTGGGCATGAAACAAGGGAAAAAAGTGAATCAAGAGTGATAATGCTTGTGAGCCAAGCGTGACACAAATAAACAGAGCAGGAACCCTCTTCTATGATTCCTTGATTCTGTGATTTATAATGCATTTGTTCTTAAATATCCCCTGCTTTCTGTGTCTCTTCACAAGTGATCCCTCTTTCTCCCTGTCTCAGACCTGACTTCCTGGGCATGAAACAAGGGAAAAAAGTGAATCAAGAGTGATAATGCTTGTGAGCCAAGCGTGACACAAATAAACAGAGCAGGAACCCTCCCTGTTCCAGCACTTTTTTCCCTACCTCACTTCCAGCACACTCATATTTTGGTGCTGTTTTGCTTTAGTGCAGCAGCAGCAGACACATTGTCTGAATGCAATTAAGAATAATGTATACAAAGCACTTAAGACTGCCCAGCAGAAGAAAATACTGCTTAATGTGCTGTCATTGCTGATCCAAAGCTAAACCCTGATCAGGGTAGACAAGTACATTTCAGCTATGCTCTCCCACTGCATGCAGTCTCATCCCTGTGTAACTTGGGCTTGACACAAGCTGGGTTCTAAAGTACCCTAACCTTGTCACACAAACTCTCCTGGCTGCTCAAGTACCCCTGAACTGATCCAATGGAAAGGCTGATGGACCAACTGGAGCTGATCAACAAAGAGTGACCTGGATAACCTGGTGCTGCTAACCTCACTTGTGAGGCCATGGTGAGAGGCTCCTGCTGTGCCTGGGAAGAAAGAA